ACCAGCCATCGCCCTGGGGAGAGGCAGGGACCTCCTGGGGGGATGAGGAGGACACTTTGGGCAGCTGCCCCAGGGGACCAGGGTCCTCCCTTCCCAAAGCCAAAGGCTGGGCGAGGTCTTTCCCCAGCCAGCCGCGGCGTGTTGGGGCCGGAGGTGCAGGCAGCAGGGCTTTTCGGTGCAAAAAATATTTCCCTCTTTGCAGAGACGGATTTATTTCCGCATCAGGAGCAAGGAGCTGGAGCTCTACCTCTTGGTCCCCGATGATGTGGAGGACATGAAGGCAGGACGTGTGGTGGTCTCCAGCCTCAGCGAGCAGAGCAGCTCCATCTGGTACTATGAGGACGGGCTGATCAAAAACCAGGTGAGGGCTCATGTGTGACGGCCAGTGCCGCGGAGGGGACCAGGGGAGCCCCTGGCAGGACTCCTGCTGGGGTACTCCCCACCCCACTGCCATCTTCTAGGGTTTATAACACCTTTTCCCAGCAGCTGACCTCAGCCTTGTCCCCAGAGATTGGCTGGGTCTCTCCTCCCCAAGTCTCCCCTGGAGACGTGAAGGCACCTCTGCCTCCCCTAAGGGGTTTCCACCACCCTAATCATCCTCACCTCTCACCAAGAGGTTTTCCATGTCCCACTCCAGCACCAGCTGCATTGACAGGGAAACCCCTCCGAGCTCCAAGCCTTCACACTGGGTAGAGGCGATGGAGAGGAGTGGGCTGAGCTGGCCACCACTGCTCCTTGCAGGTGGCCCCCAGCATGAGCCTGCAAGTCATCGGGCCAGCCGGGAAGGGCTCGAAGGCTGTGCTGTGGTCCGAGACCCGGATGCCACGTCAGACCTGGCGCATCGATTCTCAGGGACGGATCCACAGCCAAATGTTCGAGGACATGGTCCTCGATATAAAGGGTGAGGCCCCCAAAAACAGGAGGGTTGGCCGTGAGATGGGGCACCCACCCCTTCACCGCCATCAGGAGCATGGTCTGCCCTCCTGAAACCCTCCCCTTGCTCCGCAGGTGGCCGATCCTACGACCGGGACCATGCCATCGTTTGGGACGTGGCTGAGGCAAGACCCACACAGATCTGGGACGTACAGGTGCTATGAGAGGGCGGCGTGTGGCCCTCACGTGGAGAAGTGCCACGGGACAGGACGGGGACACCCTGCCAGCGTCCGCGCACTGGGGCGGGAGTCCTCCCTCACGCTGCACCCCAAACACCCCTACACCCCTCTGCCTTGCCCGCTGGCGTGAAGGATGCCTTCCATCACGAGGGGCAACCACCCCACCTCCCTCCCAGGAAGCCCCGTACGTCGCTCACGAAGGACCCCACAGACATGCCTGGCACAGGACCCTGTGGAGAACAGCAGAGCCCCTTCCTCACCAGCTTCCCCCTCCAAACTGTATTTATGTACGTGTGTAAGATACAGCTCCCCTCGTCCAGGCCAGCTCTGTCTGGGTGGTTGGTGTGCTTGTCCTCTCCCTTGCACTGGCCACAGCCTGGCAGCCCCCATGCCCAGGGGCTGCCCCCCCTCCCCAGCCCCAGCACCTTGTCTGCTGCCAGCCCCACAGTCCTGGGCCCAATCCTGCTGCCAGGATGGGAGCCCAGTGCCCTCTAGTGTCCACGGGCCACAAGCAGTACCAGGGCCCTGGGTTTTGAGAAGGGAGGCACAGGCCAAGTAGTGCCCCCTGGAGCACCAGGGGCTGCCAGACCCCCAGCTCAGGGGGGAGCCCAGCCTGCTGCTGCTGCGGGCCCCGGGGGCTTCACCCCAGGGCGAGCTGTGCTTCAGCAGCATTTAGTGTCTGCGCTGCAGAGCTGCGTCATGGCTCAGGTCACTGATCTTCAAGGTCCCTGGGACAGAAATCTCCACCTGGGTGAGGGCAGGAGCTCCCCGGGGACGTGACTCAGAGCCAAAAGGGATGCGGGGTGAGAAATACAGACACATGGAGACATCAAGCGCTTCTGTCCTCGCTGCTGGGGCAAGGAGACGGCTGCCGGCAAGGGCCCGGTTTGCTGAGCAGGTTGAGCCCAGTTTGGGGAGAATCACCACAGTCGGGCAGTGATCACTTATCAACCCCGCAGCGAAATGGGGCTGTTCTGGCAGCGACAGACGGCGCGGTGCCTCCCCGGGAGGCTTCCTCGGCAGACTCAGGTGCACAAAGGTCCTTACACCAGGCGTCTCCAGCCGGCCAGTGACTGCTCTGGCTTTCGGCAACAGCCGTCATCAAATGTCCGTCTTTATGCTGAAACGTGACCCCAGTTGTCCCAAGACCTGTTTGGGCAGGAGGACACGGTAACCGCAGGACAGGAGAGCGGAGCGGGCAGGCAGATTCTTGCTGGCCTGAGCCCAAACCACTGCCTGCAGGCAGCGGTGCCAGGCAGGGCAGCAGGCAGGGCAGCAGGCAGGGCAGCAGGCAGGGCAGCAGGCAGGGCAGCGTTTCCACCCACTGCTCAAAGAAGGCAATGCCAGTCCCGCAGAACCAGCAGGCACGCAGATACTGAGTGCCAGGTTAAAGCACCCCAATCCCATCCCCAGATCAGACAGAAGTGCTGGCAGGAAGGGAAAGGAGACCACCAGAAAATGGGCAGCGAGGGCCCAAGAGACACGCAGGGAAGATGCTGCCGCCACCCTATACAGTCTCAGCTGGACCTGTGGTGCCGCTTAAGTGCCTGGAAACCGCGGAGGGACATCGAAACACACAAGCTCAGCCCGGTTAGGCAGGCAGGGACGCTGCCGAGGGAGAAAATCCTCTCAGTACGGTCCCGCGCTAGCAGAGACCCCAGAAGCCGAGAGCCCCACTCCCAACCAGCAGCGC